AAAGGGCGAGGCTCAGTCTCTAAGGCATCGTTGTTCATGCCCTCGGGAACTGTGGGAATTTCCTCTCGAAAAGCCTGACGCCGGCCACGAGTAGAAAGATCGCGATCCCGTTGTCTAGGCATGCTATTACATTCAAACAAAAATAAAAATCTAAATACTTAGCATCATTTCCTAAGTTATTTAGTTATTTATTTAAAAATGGCTTAACGGCTACCTCAAGTTGATTTTCTATTATACGCAAAATTTTTACCTCAAGGCTAAAAATTAGCAAAATAATAGAATTATATCTAGTACTTAGTTTCTCCATGACGAACTAATACTACAGTTCTCCTAATTGCATGATATTATGTTCTCCATGACAATATAGTGCATACACAAAACAAAGCATGTTTCGAAATTGCACAAAAATAATAGATCGTTACATCATGGCATATTTTACAAGATCTACAACCAATATGTCACCATTTCAAGTGTAAAGAAATAACATGAACAACAAGAACACCATTTCACACAAGTAGTACAAAAAATGGTGATTTGCTTGTTTCTTCACCAAATCACACAAACTTGGTCTCAAATTGCTCACAAACAAACATACATTCATATATAAGCTTATTCATGGCAAGAATTTTGACATAGAAGCTCAAAATCAAAAAAACCCCCAACTTGATTTTTCAGGGCTTCAAGCAAAAATGGCATCCACGGCAAAATTTGAGACAAAAAGAAAAGAAAACTTACATGGATCCTTGTAAGAATTCAAAAATGAGGAAGATAGAAAAAAATTTGAGAGAATTTGGTGAAGAATTGAGCTCCAAAAGCTCGAAAAACCGTAGAAGGCAGCAGTGCAACCACTGCGGCACGGTTAACCACGCCGTGACACGATGACTCTGGTCGTGTCGCGGTGACCCTCTGACAGCAACGACGACATTCTGACAGCAGCAGTGGCAAAAAAATGGCGAAATAAGACAGCCGTGTCACAAAGACTTGTGCTGCGACACGGTGAAAACAATCGTGCACCGGTGCTACTGAGCCGTGACGCGGTAATCTCTAAATATAAATAAATAAATAAATAAAAAGAGAGAGAAGACAAAATGTGAGGGGGCATAATGTGAAAAGCAGCAATAAAAATAAAATGAAATGGCGGAGAGCAGTTGGAATTTAAAGAAAAAAAGTAGTCGTTACGCGGCTCTGTTCTCTGTGCCACAAAAGCAGTTACAGCGTAACGGTGTTCGTGATGTGGCCCGATGCTGTTTTCAAGACGCTTTGACTTGTTTAGCAAAGACCAGATCCGGCGTCACAGTATTATTTACCGTCTAGCGGGAATTGGCCACCTTGTCACGGCATAACCTCACGAGACACGGTGCATGGCTGTGTATCCTGCACGCATTTGGAAGCTTCTGGAGAATATTTTTGGGTATCTTTGACTAAATTTGAACGATTTTCCGCAGCTTTTGGACAGTTATTTTCTCACCGGAATTACGCAGAAAATTCTAATTGGTATTTAAAAGGTACAAAAATTAGCAATTTACCCCTAATAAGCATTAGGGTCACATTTTCGATATTTTAAACACTTAATGTGGTCAGATAGTCGACTTGAAGGTAAATCATCTGCGGCCCATGTTCGAGGATGATCGAACCATCATACACTTGCAAATTTCATTCGACAAGTTTTTTCCTCAAGCATGGAAAATTGTCGATCATTGTCACCTCTCAAAGCAAAGAAGTCAGCGATTATATCAGTTGTCGGCTTTCCTCAAGTATGGAAAGCATTATCGGTGGATTTTTCTTCAAGTATAGAAAATCGCCAAGTTGGATTTCCTCATCCATGGAAAGTATTATCGGTGGATTTTTTCTTCAAGTATAGAAAACCGCCAAGTCGGCTTTCCTTAAGCATGGAAAGTATTATTTGGTGGATTTCTTCAAGCATAGAAAAACGCCAAATTCATATGTCGACTTTCCTCAAGCATGGAAAGTATCATCTGGTAGGTTTCTTCAGGCTTGGAAAGCTACCAAACTCATCAGTCGACTTTCCTCAAGCATGAAAAGTGTTTTAGTGAAACGTCATCCGGTGGATTCTGATGAGTCTATTATATATATATTTTTATTCCCCGTCCCATGGTCATATTTGTGCTTATTTTAGCTCTACGGAGCTATTTTTATTACTAATATACGTTTTCTAGTGTTTTTGTAGAGTTGGTATTATTTTGTAGGAAATTGCAGATTTTTTATAATTCCCGAGCTTATCAAGCCACTACGAAAACATTGGAGTTAGATCGTATTTTATGACCGTATAAATTAAGCTCAAGGCCGAACTAAAGTAATTTAGTTTGGTGATTAAGGGCTCGATTAGTAAAGAGGTCCAAGTTTTTAGAAGCTAATCAATCAAGTATTGCGGACCAACCAAGGAAAGACATTGGGCCAAAGAATTAATCAGCCCAAGCATATAAATACAAGCTAACATGAGATATGGGGCGTGAAGCTGGCGGGCCCGATCAAATGGATCAAAGCCTGTCGGGCGAGATATTAATGTTTTTGGGCTGCTGATATCTTAGTTTGAGATTTTGTTTTGGGTTACAAAGTAAGTCGGTGGACTTAGTTTTTATTAAGTGGAGTTTTGTTTTGTTTGAGGAGTTTAGGTGGGAATAGAAGTTGACATTAATAAACTTCCTTTTTTCTTATAAAAGGAGGTAGTAGTATTTACGTAGGAAAGTAGTTTTCTTGTCATTAGTTTTAGATTAGTTTTAGTTTAGTTTTTTTTTCTTTTCTCTTTCTCTCTCTAACTTTTTTCCCTCTCTCCTCTAAATTAAACTCTTAGAATTATATCTCTCTTATTTCTCTCTCTATAACTCTTGGTTTAATTTCAGTAATTTATTCTCTTTCTTTGATCATGTCTTCTTTAATTACTTTGTTTAGTTTATATTTAATTATGTGTGAGTAGTTTTCTTTCTAGGGTTTATGGCGATCCATAAATAATATGAAGGGATAATTTATTGTTGTTGATTATCAATGCTAGATTATTTTCCTATTGATTGATTTAATGCTCTGTGACTAGATTAGGCCTGATCTTTTATGCATGAGTTTGACAATATTGATTCGAGATTCGAAAGATGAGAATTGATGTTTAGGTCTAGTTTCAATAGGCAGGTTAATTTATAAATGGTTAAGTCGAGATTCGAGAGATGAGATTTAATACCGATAAATTAATTGTGTGATTGTAATACGTAGCGAAAGCCCTTTATAATGTGATTAATTTATGCATTGATAATTGATTATTATGTTTTATCCTTGAATATTATTTATTAGTGAACCTATGCTCTAGGCCTTTTAATTCATTGTTTTCTCCTTATTATTAATCTTCGTAGTTTAGTTCCTTTTGATTATAACATTTTGGTTACTTGATAATTTAGATTACTTTAATTAATTAGGAATAAAAGACTTGTTTCTCTTTGGATTCGACCCTACTTCCCTATCTACATTAGTTAGTGAATTTAGGAATTATTTTTGATTAGGTAATACGACTTTAGCCTGTCAGTCGAGATTCGAGAGATGAGATAATTTGGACGACCGGTTTAGGTTCCTTTTTAATCTTGTTATTAATTCAAGTGATCACTAATATTTTAGAATAAAGTGTTACACTAATATTAAACCAATTTAGCCTAATAATAGTTTGGAGCAAATTGAATCTTTGTTTGCATGCCTTTGAGATCGCATGAATCACTTTTCACTATAAGAATCAAGTAGAGGCCAATATGGGAGAATGTGACTCCATGACTCCCTTCGTACCATCATCCCCGATCCTCCTTTAATTTCGTGGTTCCGAACCATATAGAGTTAGTAATCTCATGGATTATGAATGGGGTGTAACCTTCACGGGTCAATCGTTGTTGCCTTTCGTTGTCCATTAATCGTGGTTACCTTAAATGATCCGTGAACGGTTTACAAGTTCCTTTAAAAATTGTTGGCGGCTCCCTACTTTCCTTGTCCCTAATCGTATTATGTCAATTCCCACTTCCTATGAGTTCCAAGCATATTCACACATGCTTAAACGTAGACGCACTTCGAACGACGCCTACATATATGATCAAATATTAACAAAAAAAAGGTTAAAAAGGAAGGGGAGTGGAAAAAACAGCATCTGGTTGTGACACGTGTCACTCCCGGTGTCTGTTTTAGTATTAACCTATTGATTGATTGAAAACCCTTGATCCAAACCTAACCCGCTTAGGGTCACTCGGGTAATCTTTTACCCACATAGGACCTGTTCACATTTACTGAACTGAACTGAAATAAATATTTTATGAGATAAGGAAATTAGAAACCGAACTGAACTGATTGGAGCTGAATTGAACTGAAATTAAGTTGAAGTGAACATACCCATAGGCCATAGTATGTAAAAAACTAATTAATATTCATTTTAAAAAGTAAAAACAAATACATCATTTATTCATTAAATTAAAGATACTACAAGAGTTTAAAGATAGTAGTTTAGGAACACAACTATACATAAAAATTATCCCGAATTAACCGCCAAATTTCAATTTAAAAAGTTGAAATTTTTGTGTCCGTCAAATTAGCTGCCAAAAGTTTTCAAAATTTATAAATGGTGCCGAGGTAGTTTACAAAATTTAAAGTTTTGAATAAAAAAATTCGATTTTTGTTTACTAATAAATTAATAGGCTTAGCATATCATGTTCGCATTAGCGGGTTGTTGTTCAACCCATTTATTTAATCAGGTTATATCGGTAGGTTTCGAGTTGAAAATTTCAACCCTAACTTGACCCATTTAATTTTGTGTTGGCTTCGTACTAACCCAAATTTGTAACCAGATCAAGAATTCTTGATCTGTATCAACTTAATTTGAGTCGGGTATCATGTCGTGTTAGCTTTTGACAACCATACTCACATGCGAGCTATTAACTCTAAAAGATGATTAGTTTTGTGTTAATCAATTTGGGGTAGGATTACCAAATAGTTAGTGGTAGAAAATTTAAATCAAAATCCCACTTCATCATTATTATACGTAGTAAATTAAAAAGTAGAAATCATTTTAGGCTTTTTGTAGAATCCAAAATCCAAAAGATAAAAAATACCACAAGGAATCAACTGAGGAATCTTCAATGTAGTATCTAGAAACTCTAAATTTGAAAAAAACAAATTAATTAATTTCTTACCATCATCATAAATTATAATCCAAACAATTTTACAAATCTCCACTCTCGAATAAAACCCAGCTCAATTTTTTATTTATACTTTTTCATTTTTGTAATTTTTGTTGTTTGTAGTGGAGTTAATCGGGTTGCGGATCTGTCATGAAAGATACTGTCAAAAGATATCTTTTTCAATCCTTCTTACCGTATATCCCCCGGTCCCAAAAAGCTATTCAATTTCACCCTTTTTTCATCTCAAATTCTCAGAAAAAGTAGAGGAATTAAGGGTATATAAAAGGGTATTTTTTTTTTTTTTTTAATTTTGTATTTTTGGGTGTTATTTATTTATTTTTTTTTATTTTTTTATTTTACAATTTGAGTGATTTGGTTCGAATATATATAGTGGGAGAAAAAGGGGGAGCAAGAATGTTGGAATTGAGAGATTACACTTGCTTTCCACCTTTAATTGTTGTTGTTTATGCTACCCTTGCTTGTGTTGATGCGGCTATTGCTGTGATTGCATTTTTTCAGGTAATTTCTGTTCTTAATTCTATTAAATATTAAATTATAAAAAGTACTTTGTATTAATTAATTCGTTATGTTGTGTAATTTTTGTTTTTGGCTGCTTGTTGTTTTTGTGAAATGTGGTTGTTTTTTATTTTAGTTGGGTGATTTGGTGGATTTTTGTTTTGAATGTGGGTATTAAAATGAGGGGAATGAGTCGGTAGTGCTTTTGGGTGTTTGAGTTTTTATTTGCAGTCATACATACTGGACCTTGTGTTGTTGATAATTGGAAAATCCGTGATGAATGGTGTTTGAATTTGATTGATAAATTCGAGATTTCGAGTGCAGCATTATGAGAGTGAGTTTAGGGGAGTAGAAGAAATAGTAAGCGTTTGGTGAATGATGCCTTTTGTGTTTTGAGGAAACATGTAGAGATGTGTTCTTTCTGTAGAGATTGTAATATCAGATTGATCCTTGGCTTCCTTTGTGAGTGAAGCCAATGTGATTGGTATGAGAAATGTAAAGTAAAATAAATGATTTATCAAAGTAATTTGGCTGGAATAGATAGGCAGATAGAGAGTATAGGTCAATTGCTTTCAGCTTTCTATAGTATTATATATACTATGGAGTACTTTCATAGTTTCATTAGTTGTACCCACTCCAGCCACCGGTATATCATTTGGTTGTCTTTAGTGACCAAGTTGTCATTTTAATTCTTGAGATATAATTGGTGCAGTGGTTGCATTTGCCCTTAAGTTTAATGAGTGTAATTTTGCCATCTCTTGATACGATTATACACCATGTTGATTCAATATTTTTGGCTCATGTACTGTGTGGTTCCCTTGTGTTTGCCTATCCCTTTATTCATAGTATTTTTCTTAGGATTTTAAATTATTAGCAGTCAAACATAGGGAGGCCAAATCTATAAAATGGGTCATAGCAAGTTGGTTTGTACAGCAATGTGTTGATTAGAAGTTTAGAACATGGATCTTTAAACAACCTTAAGGTGACAGTGCACAGGAGAGATTCTGGAAGCTCTTACAATTCTAACGCTTGCTGTTTTTATGGTTGATTTCATGTGTGTGTTTGAGTATCTCACTGCCCTATCTCTGTTTGCCTCCTCTCCGGCTTTCATGCATGATGGATGATGGTAGAGCTAGGAGACATGAAAGAACCCTCACAATGGTGAGGTGTTGATGGTAATAATATTTTGGATAATACCTTGTGCTGTTTATTGGCCTATAACAACTTTTATTTCCTGAACTTAACCCTATTTTTTTACTGCTAAACTTTGTAAAGAAAACATAGCAGACCTAGTTGATTAAAAAATATCTTGTTAAATTACCTTTGTCCTCATTCTAATTTGAGCTTTGCTTCGACTAGTATCATTAGTAAACATCTTACCTTTTTTCTTTATGATGCCAACCTAGCTATTTAACATCTATGTTCTTTTTGCTTTTTTATGCTTTTAGTTGGTGAGGATCCACTCTAGAAGTGCGCAACTTGGTTGGACCCGGCAAAAGGTAAGTTTTGCAATCATATTAGATTGTCTTTCCACATTCTTAACGTTGCTTTGAACTTGGCTTATTTGTAGCTTTGGTTTGTTTATTTTCTATGCGTCTAGAGTTCTAGTGCTTTGGCCTTACTATTGTGATGATTAGGCTACTAGGGTTGGGTATTAAATTATGCTAGTCACTATTACTGAACTTTCTGATATCAAAGGCTCCTGGCTTATCTCATTAGCTACTATTGCTTCCAATTGATGTGGTGCTATCCATCTCTTGGCCTTAACAACTAAGCCAAATACTTTTATTTATTGAAATAATCATGAGGCTTCAACGGCTAAAGTGGTCGTAATGGCAAGTTTTTAGCTTTTGGTCTTATATGGTAAATTTCCATTTACTGATTTTATCTTTTATGGATTTGCCTTTGACTGCCGGGGGTCAAAGAGTTTTAAAAAACGTTCTTGAAAGCACAAAGAGTAATTGATCATCATTATCTCGTTATTTAATACGAATCGGTGAAATGGCCAAATCTATAAAATAATTCAACAAGCTCTTGAAGCAATTCCACTGCTAGTACATCTGAGAATTCTTAGTTGGCTAGTTGTATAGTTGTGTTGACTTATCGCCTCATTTTGTCTGTTCGATAGATTTGTTGTAACTCGAATTCATATAGGGAGAACTAGATATAGTTTTATTACTTTTTTTTTTTGAAGGGATATAGTTTTAATACTTCTGATTACAAAAAATGAGCACTAACCAAATATCCATTAGAATGTATCTTTTCTTTGTGCTTGTTCTTCTGGCTGACTTAAACTGAATCAAGTTTCTTTGTATTGCAGGTCTTTCATCTCATGATTGGTCTTTGCAATTTGGGTAAGATAGTTGATGTCCTTTATGGAACTTGCTTATTTGCTGCTTTTAGTGATATATGAGAAAGATTGTTTTTTTGAGATGAGTATCTTTTTTATTCCTTGCTGATGCTTGAAAAAATAGTTTGACTTCATGCTGCTATCTATTAGGGACTATGCCTTTTGTTATCTTCTGTTGTTTCTGTTGTCTTGTTTCTTTTTTTCCTTAATTGTGAATATATGATTATTCTGGTAATGCTGGCACATATGAAGTTCCCAATCACCATGCACAAGTTTCTTCTGAACTTTTACAGGCATTTTGTAAATAATATTGACCTTTTCTTAGCCAAGTCTCATGTTAGTGCTAAATCTTGTTTTTTGTTTCATGGTTCAACATCTATTACATCGTGTGATGTTAACTCTTTTTTACCAAGATTGTAACTTTTGCAAGGATTCCAATGTGTCTAGTAGGTTCCTAGTCTGCACACCAACTAAACTATTAAAATAGCTTTGCCAAAGTCTTATAAACTTATAGCTTGATATAGTGGGAAGTGTACATTGGGATTTAAAAAGATGTCAAAAATCTTGGCTTGTAGGGTGGCTATTTACTTTTAAGATGGATCTGACCATAGTTTGCCTTCCCTTGCACACTTCATATTTTGGAAAAGAACATTGATACTACATATATAACAAAAAAAAAAAAAAAAAAAAAGGAAAAAATAAATAATATAGCTTGGTGTTCATTGGATTGGTTCTTACAATATCCATAGATAATTCCCTGATTTCCTTATTGTTTTTGATGAATGAGATGGTGTGACCTGTTCTTTTGTAATTTTAAAATAATTCATGAGGTTTGATTAACTTAAGCCCTAAGACCAGTCAACCTGAAAACCAGTAGGCCCCTAATCGACTATATGTCTGTATGCGCTGGTGTTAAGGATTTCTTATCTTATTTTAGATTCCATTTTTTAATTAATGGTATAAAGTTAGATTGAGAAGATTTATGTATCAATATAAGGTTCTCAACAGTGTTTTTTTTTTTTTTGTTTGTTTCATGAAATGTCAACTGCTAGTATTGATTATTGAGTTCAATTTTGTCATATATTTAGTGCTTATATGTAAGGTTTCGTATGTATTTAAAAAATCCGCTTTGTGCAAAACTGTATCTTTTATGAGAACCAGATTTACAAAAAAAAGGATCTATCTTTTGTTGCAGGGTATGTTGTTTTCTTTGTATTAACTCTCATCGCTACTTGCAAAGGATGGTCTTGCTGGTCAAGCTCCTGCGGCTTTGTGTTCATGGGTAGATATCAAGCTTGTTATGAATTGACTCTGATATAGCATCTGACTTTGTTAATTTTTTCTAACTATATTTTGTTTTCTTATGCAGCCTTCCCTAAGATCCTTTTATTTGCAGCATTTCTTCTGCTTCTGTCATACTGGTATGTCAATTATTGCTATTGTTGTTGCTAATACTGGCATTACTTTACTGTACTTTGTGGAATTTTTTTTCATTTAATACATCATGTTAGAATAGGTTGACATGATTGTTGCCTTCTTTGTTTTTTAAGTTCTACACTAATGTGCTGTTAATAAATTATTGTGTGCTCTCTTGCTGGCTTTATTTTAGGGTGGATCTTTGCCACCAGGCTGATGATGAAGAGGATGATGGAGACAGTAGTTCTTGTGAAGCTTTGTTGGATAAGACCAACAGTAAGCCACCTTTATCAAACATTGATGGTAACAAAAATTGTCTACCTGTTCCATCACTTCATGTTGGAAGCCGCCAAAGATTTGTTATTTTGGTATGTCATTGATAATATTACAATAAGGTTGTTTATATATTTTACATTGCGTTAACCTAAAGCATATTATGAATAATTATTTAAGCAAGCTTACAGGCCATATGTTTATTGAGCTTTCTTTTACAATTTTTATTTCTATTCCAGACTATGGTTGTAGTTCTTGTTCTAATGACTGCCTTTGCCGTGCTAATTTGGATTGGGATGGGAAGGAATCCGATTGATTCATCAACTGTTGCTCGGGTATGAGTTTTTGAGTACCTTTTCTTTTGATTGGTGTTTTATGTGTGCAATCTTGTAATTGTGTATGTGGAGGTTGAGTAGCCTAGTTAGAGGAAATTTGGGTGAAACCCATGTCTATCTTGTGCAACTTGTAGAAAATGTAATGGGTATATTGACAGTCTTTCCTGTGTGAAGTTAAGCTATATTTGAACGCTTTAAACTATATTATGTTGCTTTACAAATAATATGGTCCAAATGATTATTTTGTTATGTCTTTTTCTTTATATCGTATCATTTCTTATGACGATTCATGTTAGCCGACCCCAAATCATTTTAGGACTAAGGCTGTGTTGTTGTTGTAGTACAAATAAAGATATATATATATATATTTTTTTTTTTTTTTTGGGTGTTTAGAGAGCCACAAGGGCGATGGTGAGAATCGATCCCAAAATCTCATGGAACCGGGAGGAAAGCTCTAAATACTTGAGCTGTCCCTCACTCTCTCATAAATAAAGATATTATAACCTTCTATCTATCCTTTTTTCATCTGAATCTATCACGTTAACATCAAAATCAATCCTTTTACATGCACCCAGTGCACATTAGTGTTTCTTGTGAATAGTACATGAACAAAATCTCAAAAATCTTAAAAGCCCAGCAAACAATGGAGGAGGAAAAAAAAACCCTCAAACAACAATGGCAAACAAAAGCTCAAATCCTCAAACACCAACGCATGCATTCAATTTTTGAATTCGAATTGTAAGAATTTGATACAAGGTATTCTATAGTAGCAATGAGGCCAATGACATGTTCGAGCTCCAATTATTAAAAAATAAAAATAAAAATGAACTTGAAATCAATAAAATCTAGTTTGATTTCTGACATTAATTTTAGTTTATTTTTTCTTTTTTTTTTAAAAAAATGGAATTAAAACAAAAAGAAAGTACTTTTTTTACTTAGAAAAGTTACTTTTAAATATACAGAAAGTTACCCTTAGATTCCAAAAAGTTACCCTTAAACACACAAAAGTTACCCTTAAATATACAAAGTTACCCTTAGATTCCTAAAAGTTACCCTTAAACGCACAAAAGTTACCTTTAAAATTATAAAAATTACCCTTAGATTCCAAAAACTTACCTTAAACACATAAACGTTACCCTTAAATAAACAAAAGTTACCCCGAGGGGAGAGAGACTAAAAGAAACCAAATGAAGAAAAAAAAATCTAGGAAGAGAAGCAGTTATTTACATAAATGAGTGGATCAAATGCCAAAATTTGCTAAGTAAGATCTTCAACTGGATGATGAACAACGTAAACCAATGTAGATTTCTTCTTCTTCGAATCTTTTGCTGCTACCATCTTAGATAATTATGAACAAAAATTATTGAAATTAACACAAACGGAGAATAATCTATGATTTAAAAGATCAATATATAGAAAGAAAATTGTGTGAAATAATTTAAAAAGGAAGAGAAAGTTGTGATGAAAGTGAAAGAAGGTGGTAAATTGGTACTAGATAGAGGAAAAAGGAAAGTACAGAGATACAAAAAAAAAATGATCTAGAAAAAAAGGTTTCGAAATCAAAAAATCAAAGGAGTTGGCACGTGTGAATGTATAGCAGCAGACCTAACTTTCCAATTTTGCCACCATTCACTAATATGTTGTAAACCGGCTATTTTAAAAAAAATTTGTGCATCAAAATATTTACGATAGCGCATCTTTTCCCTTGTTAAAAAAATCTTGATGTATGAAGCCAATACAAGTTTAATATTTAGGCCTCATCAGTAGTGACTAGCTTTTGAATTTGGTAAAATGACATATAGGGCCATTTGTGTATTTCTTTTTAGTAATTGATCTCCTTCATTCAGTTTCATTTTTCACTAAATGATTGGAATTTTGATATGAAATCTGCAACGATTGAACTTGCTTGCTGTCTTTGGTCTTTGAAGTAATGATCAACCTGGAAATAGAATGCTTTTACTTTATTCCGGAATTTCCAACATACTAATATAAAAAAATTAATTTGGTGGGCACTTCAAAAATTAGCATATCTGGATTAACATGCTAACTGTATCTACTATCTACTAAATTCTACATGGACTTCATCTTATGTTCCACAAAACACACTTTTTCTTTTGGATTGTAACAATTAGTTTACAGTCTTTACACACTTTGTTACTTTACATGTATTAAGGAGTAAGACAACATTATTAAAAAGGTTATTCCGTACTCATTATCGCCTATCCACACCTATATTTTCTCACACACCTAAATAATAACTTTACCTACTATGATGTGCATGATCTAATCTGATCTGAATCATTCTGATCTGATTTCCTGATTTGACAAAACTTTGGCTTTATTTGTAAAGTAATCGTAAAATAAAATATCAAATGCGATGTCATCAAATTCGTATGAATGTGTAGTTTCCAAATATAAAATTTCCATAATTTTTTTAATAACAGAGTTTAAGATATATATTGATAAGTAATCTCAAACAAAATATTTGATCATTTATGAAATAAGCTAATATTTGCTTAAATAAGCTTGACTGAACATAGCCATAAATTGTTTGATTTTCTCTCTTAATCCTTGATAATTGATTTCCCACTACCTCACAATAATTATTCTCCTTAAACTATGTTCCCAGCAAAGTATGTAAACCTTTTTGGGATGGAAGGAGTAGCTACCAGAATTATGTGTCATTGACATGGTCAAATGAACTTAATGTGTCCATCTGGTAAATGTTTCCTCAGAATTCTCTCTGTTAAACATATTAACAGATATGAATTCAGTATTCAGCTGATAAAAAAAGCTGTAGCTTTGTGGACATAAATTTGCTGTAGGTATGGCTCCCTTTCCATTACAAACCCGCAAAGAGAAGTGCTTTTGCTACTGAGAAAGTGAACGGTTGGCGGGAAGGTTCAAGACTTAGCCAACCGTTGGTATTCGAGGCCTGTCTACTCTATATAGGGCCATGAGAAATTTGAATAGGTTCATATTACTTTCAGATAGTATTCGTGTACTCCCTCCGTGTTTTTTTAAGTGTGACACTTGTCAAATGCGGAAAGATACATTTTAATATTATCTCTCTTCTCTCACGGTCCCCACCCAAATCCATTACTATTAATTCTTTCTTTCATCTCACATTCATTACTTTCTAATAAATTATTTATCACACTATCTTTCTCTTACAATTTTTTAATACTCCAACTACCCCAATTACCTCTTATTTTATTTATAACAATTAAATTGCTTAAAACTATGTGCCGGTCAGGGTGTAACAAAAAGCGCAAAGGGAGTATTGAAGTTGGTTAAAGGTGTAGGTTAGGTCCATGTGGAGTTGGGTTAGTATCTTTTCAGGTCGATTGTTTACCAAACTCAGACATTTGGATATGCCTTTCAATTCCCAGCAATTTTCCTTTTCTTAGCTTCTCCTGTTCTAGAATTATATTCTTTCTTCTGTGCCAATTGCAAACCTTTCATTTCGAATTTCATTTTTCATAACTTATTTCAGGTTGCCTTCAGTTATGGCTCTTCTGTGCATTATATGATTTTGGTATGGGTCCTTGGTGGGATGTGCAAAATTGTGTTGGGTAATCGAGTCAATTTAAATATGATTGAATTGACAGATATTGTTGATGTCTAATCTGGTTTTAGATTCCTTCCAATCAATTTTTTTGTCTGAATTGATTTTAACCTGTTCAGTCCTTTTTCCAAGTTGTTGATTTGAAGAATGAGCAATTACAGAAAATTCTATGTAGGAACAAAGATATTGATAAATTTCAACTAGTTATTGCAAATCTTATATATTTCCGGAAATTAGTAAAAAGATTTTGATGGATTTCTTTTTTATGTAATGAGTGAAAATGGAAGTCTATTTTGCTGGTGTTCTCTAATTTCATGATAATCTCTTGTTTGTGTAAATGCAACCTTGTTGATGACGCTGTGGTAGAGAATGACTTCAGAAACACTGTGCAGGTCTATGTGGATATTTTTGCAGTCGGCATATTTTTGTTGGGAGGGGCATTGGCATGTTACGGTAAGTGTTCTCTGATTGCTTGCTCAGAATACCTTATGCATAGGTTATGTACTTCTGCTATTGCTCTCACTTTCATATTTGAGATATGATAAGAAAAGGAAAAAAAAGAGCATATATGTAGGAGGATAAGATGTCCTTTTCAAGAAATTATGATAGAAAATTCATGCTCAATACCGTGTTACCCTTTCTTGATTCTCTAATGTCATGTTATGATGATGTTGATTGATAAGCTTTGTGATGCTAGTTTAGAGTATTGACTTAGAGATATATAGAAAGTACCAATGATTTGCAAAGTGAAAAATGCTGTTTTGAGTAAATGATGATAGGTTTGACAAAATTGAACATTGTGAATTGAGTTATGTTACTCGGACACGGCATTTTTGCCGTCATACCCTACGACATGGACTCGGGTATGAAATCCGTTCCGGACTCGTCGTGTAGCTCTCGAGTACGGCTATGTTGTCTTGAAGCAGGGAGGAAGATGGAGTCACAGTAGCCATTGAAGAAACGAAGCTTCTAGAGAGAAGAACGAAGTAAGCAGCCATTAAAGAAAGATGAAGGGTTTTAATTATTTCTTTACCTTTATTTTACTTTTTTAGGAATAACTTTATTTAAAAAGGCCTTTTGATTTCCTAAGAAAGAGATGTACAATACCTCTTTTTTTTTTTAAAAAAAAGGCTTTGGGGTTTCCCAAGAAATTGGTACAGAAAAGTTGTGGTATTCATTTTTTTTTTAATAACAAATCTGGTTTGGCTTCTAAACAAGCTTTCATACGATTTTAAAATGTTTAAAATATTATATTATTTATCTTAGTTATTTAAAAGTTTGTACTACCTCCGTTTCATATTATTTGCAACGATTAGACATTTTTCCTCTACTTTATGTCAAATCATTGCACATAATATGAAACGGAGGTAGTATCAAAATTTATATTGACTCAAATTTTTTTGATATTTGCCAAATATAAAATAAATAAAAACGTTTTTCTTGTTGATTTTTTTTTTCCATTAAAGATATTTCCGTGTTCGTACCCGAGTCCAAAGTTAAGACAGTGTCCCCGTGTCCTAATTTTTTTTGAAAATGACGTGTCGGACAATTAAATCCGTACCAATATCAAAAACCCGTACCCATGTCAACGTAACATAGGAAGTGAGTCCATAATGAATGTATATTTTTTGGGTTTTTTTTTTTCCTTTTACTTCCTCCGTTAACTATTATTTGCAACAAAGGGGGTGTTTGCGGACTACTAGGCAAAATTTGTTTGTGAGAGTAAAATGGAGAGAGAAAAAGTTGGGTGCATGTGAGAGGAGAGAGATAGAGAGAAATGATTACCTAAAAAGGAAAAAAAAACATTTGTTGCACATAATAGTTAGCATCCATTTATAGTATATGTTGCAAATAACTGTTAACGAAGGTAGTATTTTGGGGGGGGGGGGATTATAAATTACAAATAGCTTTTAACATAGCTTTTTTACACGAATTTCCGGAGTCTACCTTACTAGACAACTAGCATCAAAGTTAGACCCGACAAATGGGACGTTTGGGTCGGGTCATTTCAGGTCGATTAACATTCGGGTCGGGTCATTTCAGGTTTTGGGTATGATTCAGGTCAAGTATCGGGTCGAGTTCAGGTATGATCATTTCGGGTGTGGTCAATTTTGAGTAAGTATTTTGGGTCATATTCGGGTCAGGTCAAAATCACGTAAGGTCATGTTTGGGTTGTTCCATATGTGGATCAAGCTCAAATCAATGATATTATACTACCTTCGTTTCGCATTATGTGCAACAAAGTGACTTGCAACAATTCCCAAGACAATTTTTTTTTTTTAGCAAAGATTAGTAAAGAAAGGGGCATGTGAATAATTCGATGAGAGAAAAAGTAAACTCACTAGCACCCACCCCACCACCACCAACACTCTTTTCGACACCAACCTAACACCACCAACATCTAAGGCCGGCAAAAACTGATCAGAAAACCGGACCCGAACCTGACTCGAAAATAGCGGGTTAGGGTTGAAGTTTTCGACCAAAAAACATAAATAAGGTCGACACGAACTCGACATAAAACTTAAATGGGTTAGGTTAAGGTTGAAAATTTCAACCCAAAAACGAAACCTTCAGCCAGCCCAAATTTGAAAAGAGCCTCCTTATAAACTCAAAAACCTTATAATCACATCTTTTTTCTCACTTTCTCCCAGCCGTTTTGTCTGCCCTTCTCTCTTTCTTAAATTTTCTCTAAAATCCTCTCCATTGTTGTTTTTCTCTTTGAAGCTACTCTAAACTCCATTGAAGCTTGTCGATCTACTCCACTTCCACATTGTCGGTCTAACTTCAATTTATCATTGATCTAACACCATTTCATTTCGTAACTTTGATTTATTTATTTAATTTTGTTGGAATTTTGTTTGAGTGTGGTTTATTTCTTTGTTACAGAAATAATTTCACTAAATTGTGTTTGGGGGTTAAAAATAGTTTAGATTATTGGAATTTTACCCACCTTATGCTGAATGTATGTATATACTTCGTTTAACTTTGTGATTTAATTGGATGGTGCATGCACAAGATTCGGGTTATTTCTTATGCTTCTTGTGCTCAAGAGTCAGGGAGTTTGGACTTTGGATGGAACCTGTAGTTGAAAAATAAAAACATACTTGCTTCTTATTTCTAATCCTACCTTATGAATTCCGTTTAATTTGCGATTTTAGATTCTTCGTAATGAGTTTGTAAATGTAAATCTATTTATATAAAACCAAAACCATCCTTTTATAATTTTTTTTTAATAAATAATGAAATTGGTCGAAAAATCAGGCCAAATCAGGTTGACCCGAAACTGACCCGAACCCGAACAGATCAAGTTCGGGTCAAGCATTCTGACCCGAAATACTAAACAGGTTTGGTTCAGGTTGAAGGTTTTTGACCCGAAACTGAAGTGACTCGAACACTAAAGTGACCCGACCTTTGTTTGCCACCCCTACCAACATCCACCCAATGAAACCACCACCACCAACACCGAACCTAACATGCCTCCTTCCCCAACACCCCCTTCACCCTTGGCGACCCCCAACTCAACCTTGTAAACTACCATGAAACAACATACCCCGAAAACCTTAGTCTACACTCCCAAAATCACTGTACTTACGCACCTCAAAACCATCTCCCATAACCTTGAAAAACTCAACCATAAAACCCACCTCTTACGAGAAATAACCACCCAACAACCCAAAAAAAATATGAAGCCAAAGCTTAAAAATGGTAGATTATTACCTTCTAATCATCATTTAGGGCTTTATTTGGTCAAATTTGACCATGAGTTTTCATAGTCAAATTTGACCATAAAATCCTCAAGCTTTAGTGGTTTTGACAATCATATCCTCAAGTTTTAATGGAAGATATAAAAAAAAGGAAAAGAGAAAAGTAGCATCCAATGAAGAAGAAAATACACTGTCATGTGTGCGAGTAGTGAAATTGTCACTCCATTGTGAATGAAGAGAAAGAGAGGAGTTTCGTGGTGGTCGGAGAAGTTTGGTGGCGGTGACCAAAGGGAGCAGTGGTGGTGGTGGTTGATGAAAGTTTGGTGGAGGAGAGAGAAAGATGAATAAGGGAAAGTCTGGAAGATGATGAGTTGAATCGGTGGTTGAATGGTAGTAGTTAGGGGAGGTTGATTTACTTTGAGGTTAATTAATTTGTGTTTGTAATTTAACCAAGTCTCATTTAGTCTTGTAATTGTGATTTGGAAATTTTAAGTAAGGGTAATATAGTAATATTATACAAAATATTTTACTATAAGAGGAAAGTTTTTGTTTGTTGCACATAAAGTATAGCATTCAATTTTGGAAAATGTTGTTGATAATATGAAACGGAGGTAGCATTTTGTTATTGTTATAATAAGAACTATTAATTTGGTTTATGAGCTTGGCTATGATTGAAGATGAACGATATGAGTTATATTTGGCATTAGGCATTTTTTTGTTCAATTATAAAGTAATTTTAGTTCGGGATATTTTGGATATCAGGTCTGTTCGGGTCAATTTCGGGTTTTGGGTTTGTTCGTGTCAAACACTTTGGGTCAATTTCGGGTCGGGTCAGTTCGGGTGTTTGGTCAACTCGATATTCAGGTCGGGTATGGGTCGGGTCGGGTCAACTTCGGGTTACAAGTGAATTTCGGGTCAATTTTAGGTCATGGGTTGGGTCATTCGGGTCGGGTCATCGGATCTAGATCAAGATTGCCAGCTCTAATCAAAGTACATATATTTAATCTTTGGTTTATTTCCCTCTATTAATGATAGTAAATTGCAATGATAGTTATATAGTAGAGTAAGTGATGAGATAAATAACCTTTGCAATGAGTCACAACATATTGCAAACCTGCAATTCCCTATGCCAATAAGTAGTTGCCTTTATAGTATTAAATACAAGCCTACTCACAATAGAAAAGAAAATGGCCCTAATGTTCTTCCTATTACAAGCAAAGACCGCACTGATTATCAGTCTAAATTTCAGCAGCCTCTCACATGTTACAAGCTTTCCCAAAAAGAGAGATAATTAGTTAAAATACATTTGGGAGATGCTGAGTTGCAAATCTTTCATCAAAGGCTCTTTCACTGCCACCTTTCGGCTTTCACCCTTACTAAAAATTATAAGCCGGTTGGATTGAGTCAAATTCCAAAACAATTTACAAATCGATGCTTGATTCCTGGGCAGGATTCAAGTGAGGTCCCAACTAGTGCAGACACATAAAATCCCAGGTTAGAGCAGAATGTCTAAGATAAAGTTCTGTGCGAAGATTGACTATGCTTGAGAAATTTCTTAGGAATGAAAAAACCCCGACACCAAAAATTCTGAATGATATAGATCACTAATTTTATTAACAAGAATCTTCTTTCATAAGATAACTAGATAACATGGCTGACCAGTTCACAATTTTAGCAAGAGGCTGAGATGAACACCTACATACTTGAAAGGGAGTTCATCCTTAGAATAATGACTATTATTGAGAATGG